TATGTATGCCTTAATGTTAAACTTTCTCTATTCTGGAACTGGACTACTTTTAAAACTGAAGAGGCAGCAGAGTTTTCCTCTGTTCAGAAGCACAGGTAACTCAAAGCTAATACAAAATGACCATTAATAATTTGTTTATAAATATTTTGGAGTAGTTTGTATGGTTTCTGTTGTGCGTCCCTTTCTGCTGGATGTTTGGAGGATGTATGTTCAGGTTAACTAAGCACTGAGAAAGCGAAGACTTGGCATGATTCATCTAGATGACTCCAAGATTGAGTATAGATTCGATTGCCTTCCAGAGCCGCTCAGAGAAGATGAGGGTAAGCCTGGCATTTTAATGACTAACTTGGAGAACTGTTTTTTCCCCTGTCCTAAATTCATTCCCTTTCCTTCCAGCATTGGCGTTTTTGATGAAGATACTAATTTTTTCGGATTATGCAAATATAAACATCATAATGGGTGCATTGATAATTCATGGATCTGGTGTATTTGCTTCTTAAATATTTACTCCATGAGGAAACAGATAAATTGGATCACTTTTTTATTAATATAGCAAAAAATTAAAGGACCCATTACCTTAATAGATTGACTCCTAGATACTTGTGTGGTATCACTGATTACAATAGGTAAGGAAGTATCTGACTTGGGTACATCTCATGGTGATGAAGCCGCTCCAGCAGCTGATCTGAGACACTCCTGATGCTTTGCTCAGATGAGGTCTCATTCTCTTTGTGCTTGCATGTCACACTTTCATGGCTGCTGCTGACAGCAGAGCTGCCTTTTCCAGCACAAGTACCTTGGGCCTGTTTGCTCTGTGAGTGCTGGTACCTCTGGCCTGAAGAGCAGGTGCTATGGCTTGTTTGGTAACTTGCTTTTCAGCAGGCAGGTGCAGAGTTACAGAACTTTGTGCTGAATGTTCATCGTGTTCAGTTCCTGCTGATGCTGATGGGAGCACAACCGAGGGTGGTCAGCCTTGCGCGTAAGTGTCTTCCAGAGGCTATTTAGAGATTGGCACTGGGTGAGTGCTCCATACACTGAGCACGGCAGAACACATGCGCTGGCAGTGTCCAGCAGTGGCTCACAGCAGGCTCCACAGCCACTGCCTGTCTTTGAAGAAATACGGGATTTCAATCATTTCAAGTGCGTTTCCTCCTAAAAGTGAAGTAAAATCTTAAGGGCCTTGCTGAGGAAATAGGTTGAAATGGTTGAATAATAAATACTTCAGTAATGTTGCCATCTGCTTCCTGCTAAGTTGATGGGTGCGATATGCCAGCGCTACCTGCCTGTGGCCTGGGGAATGGTACCCAGGTCTCAAAATTAGCTACAAAAAGTTTGTACTGTCACCTTGCTGAAGTCCCAGGCTCACCCAGTGGTAGGCACTGAATTAGCCTTAAACTTTCACTTACTTGCAGTGGATGACTGCATCTCCTGAAGGAATGGTGTGAAGAAAGAGATAAAGAGATGACTGATTTCAGTGGTTCAGGAAAGGACCATGACCCATTACTGTGATCCAGCATTTTTTACAAATACTCCCCCAAGACTTCAGAATTATTTTGAATGAGATAATGAGAGAAGTGAGTACAATATGACAGTAAAACTGTGAGTAGACTTACGGTATCCTGAGAAACGCTTCCAGTCCAAAGAGAGAAAATCACAGGGGGACTTTGCTACATTTAGTTCTTTATCAGGATGCTTCTGTATCAATCGGGTATTTAGAAGTTCTTCCTGATTTTGACTTTAAATTTCCAGAGCCTAGGGTGACCTTATGGGAACAAGTATATACGTATACATTTAGAGGAAAGTTACTTAACTATTAAAATGTCCTTCCTGCAATAAAATTTTATAGTGGTCTTACTGATATTCCTCCCAGGGTTTTATATACCAAATATAATTTTCTGATTGTTTTCTTTGAGAGAAAATACGATTATTCCTAACTTTTTTTTTTCTTTTCCCCATTAAAACTGGTAAAACACAAATAAGTATTTAATGCAGGTCAGTGTTTAGCAGGGACGTTATATGCATGTATGGTCTGCTCTGCTCCAGTATGGATGCAGTAGCCTCAGCTCACTTGCAGTGTTCTGCTTGCCTTAAAGGCAGATCTTTCCCTAGCAATTAGGAAATAAATAAAAATTACTCGTTGACAAACTTGCGTATTTCTTAATCAGCAGAAACGTTACAGCACTCGTGGGGATGCTTGTGATGACTATGAATAGCAAGGTACCTTTGTAGCCGCAGCTTGGGGGAAGCATTTACTGTCACCTGCTGTATATCATAGAGAGATTTTTCCTTTTTATAAAAAATACATTTTGTAGGAGATACATATATATATATATATTTCTCATTCAGGCCTGTGTCCGTTTGAAATAATACCAGGTGCAGTTCACAGAGCCATCATACAGCATGAGGAAGGGCACATAAAAAGAAATGAAGAATGTCTCAGTTCCTCAGTTGACTCTTAAATGATGTTTTAACCAGGGCTCTGCTCCCTTTTGTTAGATCAGGAGAAAGGCTGGCGGAAGCATCTGCCTCAGGTAAACATGAAATATAGAAATACGGAAAGTACACCTGCCTGCCTTAGCTTCTGATTTTCCATCCTCCTACCACGTGCATTTCCCTCTGTGGTGCTAAGCTGTATGAGCCTTGCAGGGTTGCTCTCCAGCTCCTCTGAGGATATAATTCTCTTGTAAGTGGGGCCACAGTGACAGCAAAGTCACATTCAGACCTCCGCTTGGCATCAAAAGCACTCAGGCAACAGAGAAATATCCTGTTCCAGCTGCAGTTGTTTGAGTGGCAGCAGATGGAAGTCCTGACCAGAATCCCTCCTGGATCTGTTAGCAGATTTGAGTCTGAATGGGCTCAGTTCAGAGTAAAGCCATTTCACCCTCCCTGCTGTTGTGCCTTGCCCTCTCCCTCCCTCATGCAGTTACTGAGCTGTTAACCCCAGCTATCCCCCATCCCACAATTCAGATGCTCCAGCCACAAACCTAAGCCCATTTACCAAATACACCTACGTATCACCTGGAAAACAGACCACTGCAGAGAAGTTAACTATCAGTTCCTATGTTCCCTTGGAGATGTCACAGTGAGGAGCAAAGACCAGCTTCCCTGCCACTTGGTGTCCCAGAGCCTAACCAAGCTCGCTCCCATGGGCCTGCCTGCAGATGACATGTTCTACAGCCCAGCTGTTCATAACAAGAATGTGTTCTTCCCCTCTTCCCCATCCCGAAAATTTTCCTTACTCAGTCTAGGTACCCGGTGTTTCTCTGTGCTGCCGCTAGTTGGGATTTCCAAGAAATGCTGTATCTTGCCTTTCCCAGAACAGATACACACTATGCTCTGCACAAGACCTGGGGCAGACTGGTGTATGCCTTTTTCTGTGCTAAAGGAGCTCATGGCTTTGGTTCCAGGCACTGGGAAAACTTCGATAGTGGCACCAGTGAGGCGCATAATCCTAACACGTAGATCCAATGGCAACAACTGGTGATTTTAAAATTGTGCTGGCACTTAAGCACCCCAGGAAAGGTGTTTTGGCCTTAACTTAGTTGTTAAGAGAGAACTGAGTCCTTTTAACTTCTAAATTCACTTCCCTCCTTCACTCCTCAGAAAAGAGAAGAGAGAGGAGGGCTTGGCAAGAGAAGGTCAAAGAGCCCCTTGGAGAGAGAAGGCGAGAGGGGACATCCCAAGCTGGTGACAGTACTGGCAGGCTGGGTGTGAGAAGAGTGCTTCTGAAGAAAAGCTAAGTGGAGCAGACACAGTATCCAAAAAGCCAGCAATACCCCTGGTTTGACTTACAGCAGGCCGAAGCCAGCCCCCAACAGCTGCTTGAGGCACAATGCAACATACAGTTTCAGATCAACTTTTCCAGCAGGAAGGTTCTATACATATAGATTCCGTACATAATGTTGAGTTCTAGAAAGCTTGTATTAGCCTTACTTTGTTGTATTTGAGTCTAAATTCTTGTAACATCAAACAAACAGGACAGGAGCCACACTAGTGGTTAATTTTTCTGCTCCCAGACAGTGGTCAGAAAGGGACGCTCCAGAAGGAGATGCTCAGGGACTGTGAGTTCACATACAGCACCTTCTGCCCCTGAATGTAGCTACTCACTTCCCAGCTGTTGCGGGAAGGGAGGGTTGCATTGCTTACTGCTTGGCTGTCATTTTATCCAACTACTTCTCATAGTATTTTTAAAGCAAACCTAGAAATGTCTGAATCATGCAAGTCTGAACAAAATTATTTATGGTGCTATTTTTGCCAGAAAGTCTTTATCAAACAGTTTCCAATATCCAAAGTAGTGACAATACAGCTGGGTTTTCATGTTGGGACCTACTGCTCAACATTTAGCAGGAGATCATTGGTAGAGTTACCTTTTAAATAAGGCAGCTCTTGTTAGGAACTACCATCTGTTCTGTGAGTCTCCACCTACCTGCCAGCATGGCAATGTGACAGATGGATTGACTTTTAAATACAGAAAAGCCAGAGAGATCAATTTTGCTGGGAGCTTTAGAGCTTCTAACTAGAGAGGTGATAGTTAACTATCATCTAGAACAAGGCTGACCCCCAGCTCACTCCAGAGGATTCCTCAGGCTACTTGGGTATTTTTTCTAACATGAAGGGTTGACAGATTTGATTTTCAATGCCTCTGATCAATCCCTCTCTAAAAAATCAGAATAATACAGTAGACCTTTACCTGCTTTACCACTCTGCCATAAGGGTATGTGAGCTGATGTTTGCAAAACAGAAGACCTGGGACACTGACTTCTAACAAAGTTTTGTCAGTACATAACTGTTGAACATGATTTACAACTGATTCAAATACTTCAAAGGGAATTAGAGGAGAGTGGTATGAAATGACCCAAAGCTCTGTCATCCACCAGCACAGCATTGCAGCTTTCTTGCATGGAGCATAAGGAAAAGGACAAAACAATCCTATCAGTGTGTATGAACTGAGACTGAAGCAGCTGCTGAATGTTTTCAATAGACTTCCTGGTAATGGCTGGTACAATTTCATTAGGGCTTCTCATTTTATTTAATAAAACATTGGATGGTTTTATTTGTAATAGAGCCACAGGTGCAGGAAAACAAAAGGCACATTTCCTGATCGTGTCCACAAAGAGTCCATTACTGACTGGCTGACACAGCAGGCACTCGTTTTGCCATGTGTGGGTTTTTTTTTTATGTGAAAATAATGATCACTCAGAAAAATAATTGTTCTGTGATAAAAAACTTTTGTGAGAGGAATTAGCTTAAAGTTAGTAATAGCACTATGCAAACAGTTTCGGTTTAAGTTACAGTACAAAGACAGCAAACAGCACTCAGTACACACTGATCATGCTTTAGATACAGATCAAAGTATTCTGTACAGGTGGTAACCACTATTAATCCTCATCATGTAAACAGAAGCTGCATACAGAAAAGGCTAAGCCAATGATCCCTGAAAGTACCTCGTAGCCTGGATCCTGTAAAGGATGAAGGTGCTTACAAGACAATTCCTGCAGTTTACCTTTACTAGTCAATAAATGAAACACAGAAGAGTTCTGAGTGACTCTCACTAGCCTTAACAGTAACACCTTATTTTATCTTCCTGGCATATGAGTCTTCAACCAATAATTAATAAAGGCTCTTAGCTGTCAAACACAGCAGCCTAGAATGGTTTGGGTTGGAAGGGAGCTTAGAGATCACCTAGTTCCAATCCCCTGCACAGGTGGGGACACCTTCCACTAGACCAGGTTGCTCCAAGCCTCATCCAACCTTGAACACTGCCAGGGATGGGGCAGCCACAGCTTTTCTGGGAAACCTGTGCCAGTGCCTCAGCACCCTTACAGTTAAGAACTTCTTCCTAATATCTTATCAGAAGATGTAGGGTTTTTTTCTTCAGATTGAAGGTGGGATTGAACTTACATTTCCCCTACTTTTTATCTTCCTTTTAAATGAAAGCACCATTACAGAGTTTAAAATTGAAGTCTGCGAGAAGGTAGTAATACACTAAAAGGTGGCAAAAGATTACTGGCTGCTTTGTTGTTTGTGAGCAACATAACGAGTAGGATCACACCTTGCACGCTGTGTTGGCTTCAGTCTTATTTTATTTTCTTGTCATAGTGCCCAGCAAGCCATGAATTGGGTTCTATAAATTACTGGCTCACGTGATACAGTTTTCAGAGCCTTGATCTTCCCGTCTTCTTTCTAGTTCCCAGAAAAATTCTTTGCATCAAAGACAAAAAAAAACCCCAAACCAAAAACCAACTAAGACTACAGTGTCATCATGAGCACAGGCAAAGGCTACACCTGCAGTTACACAAATCAAGGAAACACTACTTTGGAAAAATGCATCAATACATCAGCTGTGTACTGCATTTACCAGATTTTCACTGAATAAGCAGAGTTAGAATTCTCTAACAAGCTGCCTCCAAATGAAAATTACTATGGAAATATTTACAGGCTCTTCCCGACAAGAGCCTTCTAAGAACAAACCTCTTACTTTTAAGATGAGCACCTCAAATGATTCAAATCAAGATCCAAATGCACATTATTAGTTAAGTACTTCAATAAAGAATGAAAATCTCCATAAACACCATACTGTCTTTCTGAGCCATGCAGCCCTTCAGGAACAGTAACTCCCCAACCGCTTGCTCATCAGCCATTGTAAAACTCCAGTGGCTAATCCTGTGCTGACAAGGCATAAAATCTAACAGGGCATTAAACATGCTCAGCAAGGCAACACCCAGTTAAAGGCACATCCAGGAAAAAGAAAAGGGCGCAGGAAAGGGTCTATCAGATCAGCACTCATCTCCTCGTACAAATATATTCCAGAGATGACATTCTGCGCTCAACATGGTCTATTGCCAGCTCTGCTCATGGCTGTCATGTCCATTCACCTCCAGCCTGAGCCATGCTCAGCTCCTTGCTGCTCAGGACATTGATTCTCCATAATAATGTTTTTCCAGGAATTCCCTTCGCAGAGTACAGCTTTCTCCACACATGACAACAAACTGCATAACTACAGCATTTGACCTCCCAGTCTTGCTCCCACACGGCTTGAGGTGTCCACAATGTCAATGTAAGATTTATTGAAATACACAAGGTGAGGTTTACATTTATTCCTTATTCTGCTCAACTGAATAAAGGGGCAGATGGCAACTAATTTCTGAAGCACAACACGTCCCAGACAGAAATTGCTGGGGAAAAGTAAAGATTCAGTTCTAACTACATAGGAAGCACAACCTGTACTCCTTCATGTAATGGTAAAGAAGTTACATTCATTATCTACACCTACCTATGTCTGAAGGAAACTTCCTGGCTCTAAATCAGCCAGCACCAAGGATGAAGCAGAAACAAGATTCAAAAACTGCTGTTTCCCACTGGTCTTTCTAAGGGACTCCAAGAGCCATAGTGAACAGTGGGGCTGCAATGCTGAGCTCCATCGTGGAAGGGAGGAGAGGGCAGAGACCAAGATCTGTTCTGTGAGAACTCTAACTTCATTTGGTCACCCTTAAGTTAGATTTGAAATTAGAGGGATTTTTTTTCTTGGTCCTTTGCCTTTTGTCTTAAAATCCTATCCTTACAGTTAAGCAAAAAATATGAGCAACCAGCAGCAGGAAACAGTCTTGAAGAAGGAAGGAAGCATCTATGCAAATATCTTGTGACTGCAGGGGACACAGAACCACAACATCATGATCTGAGGACTACACAAACTGCTTTTGCAAGAGGTTTGCTTTATCATTTCATGAACCCTCTTCCTGGAGGAGGCCATCTCCTGTCTTATTTTCCACACACAGCTGCCTGCATGCAAATATAAATTAACTTCTGAAGCCTGTTTCTTGCTGCACACAAATATAAATGCAGTGTCTTCAATGAAGCAGGATGGGCTCAAGGCATTGTTTACAGAGTATGGTATTTGTCAAGTACCTGCAAGTTTTCCTGAGGAGCTGCAAATTGAGCCCATGCTAAAGAAGAGCCAATACTGAGTGTAAGCAGCTTCTAGCACAGCAAGAAGGACCTGCCGGCCCTAAGCAATGCCTTCGTTTCCCAGGGCATCTCATCTCACATTATTATTTCTGTGAAAAACAGGAAGATGACATGGTGTACTCAGGAGCAGAAAACAATCACCTGAGAGTAATCAGTGAGTAATAAGCAAACTTTCAAAGCAGCAGCACAGAGAGCCTTGGGGAAGGGAAAGGGAAGCCATGAAGTGGTCCCGGCACTAACACAGGATGTAACCTGGGCAGCAAAGTGCTCCTGTAGGCCATACTGAGGAGCCTGCTCAGAAGGCTCACTAAGAACGGAGCAGATGTATGGTGCTGCGCAATCGGGAGATCATGCTCATTAGGATTCTTATCAGCAGAAAAAACTGTCTGAACTGTCCTCATCCCCTCCTAGTTGCTCATTTCCACTGCCCAGGGTATCTCCTCACACAGGCCAGTGCCATAGTTTCTGCAGTCATAAAGCCAAACATGATCAGAAACAAACAAACAAACAAAACATCAGAAAGAAACCATCCAAACAATTCTTTCACTACCTCTGGGAAAGCCACTGTCACTGCTTTACTTTGGATTAGAACTAAGAAAACTAGCTGCTCAGCATGAGCAGTACCCATCTCGGGTGTAAGCATCTTGTTACTATATCGCACAGTCCTAGCAAGTACAGTTTGAATAAGTAAGTATTGCCAGTGTGAATGTGAAAGCTGCTTCAGATTACTTTAAGCACTCACATTTCTTTTCAGAATACTGATTATCTCAGTTTTCCACCCAAAGAAACCCAATTCTTTTTCTCCCTTATTTAATCCTTGAGATGAACCACGGACAGAGAAGAATATGGAAAAAGAAAAAAAGCTCTACCTACATCTGAACTTAAATCCAAAGGGTTAGTTGCTTTCAGAAGAGGTCCTACCAGCCACTTTTCTACACACAGATCACACACAGCTAGACCAGACATGGACCGGCAATCTACCCTGCAAGAAAGACAAGAAAAAATGTTTCCCTCCCAGTGGCCACTAGACATGCTAAACATGTAGCTGGTCCGTAAGCAAGTTTAGACCCAACAAGACAGGTTAAATTCAGTGACATACAATAAACCAAAAAGCTCCTAAAGGTTTAGCTCCCCTAATGAGGTCCCAAAAATCAGGTGTTCTGCCTCAGTTTCTCAGGCTGTCCAATCTGCAGGAAGTATCTAAATTAAGTCATTTATTCCCACCAGTACCTCATTTTTGAGAAAGGCAGGACATTAGAACACTACTTCTCCCAGATCATCTGGAGACTCACACTAGCAACTCCTGCCCAGTAAATGAGTCTGGACAAGCATCCCATGGAGGCAGAGGAGTGGCAGCACAGGGCTTACAGGCTGTTCAGCATAAGGCAGGTGCTGCAGCATTGAACTCACAAGCTTCCAAGCCTCTTGTTAGATTTAGCCTTGAATTACCAAAACCATGAAGCGAAAAAGCTGAGATCAGGAAACCACTGCCCATTAACTTGAGAAGCACACATCAGGGCTCTCAGCAAACCATTCCTTGGGATGTGCTCCTATCCTACACATGCTGGTAGATGGAAAATAAAACAACAAATGGGAAACTAAATGACTACTTTGATCTGAAGAGGCAAAAAGCTGCTACTGTGAATTTTTTAATTCTATTAAGTAGATTGCCACAGAGTGGACAAACTAAAAAGCCAGCCCATTTAGAGCCAGTGCATACCTTCAGGATTATCTACTAAAGTATCATTATCGTAAAACAGACAATGGGCATTCCCCGGCTTCTCTCCTAAACTCAGTTGTTAAGAATCTCTGAGGAAGGTGGAGTTGAGAGAGCCATTTGTAAGATTTTCTTTTTTGCCAAGATAACTTTCACAGTAAAATACTGCTTAATATTTACTGCATAGGCCTTCAGCTATATCAGTACCAGAATGCAGTTTCCAGTTAAATATTAAGTTCCCATGAGGAAGAGAATAAATACACAGTATTGAAGGGTTTGTACAATTTTGTGCTGTAATTCAAAGCCAGAAGTGTCCTATAAAACCATTACATGATGTTAAAAATTTGAGCTGTATTGCAAATACACCAGTGGCTGACTTCTGCAACCACAGACTCATACACCGCCAGGTTGGAAGCGACCTTAAGGATCATCTGGTCCAGCTGGTTTTGTCAAAAGCACAGGCTAGATGAGACGTCACAGCTCCTTGTCCAGCTGAATCAAGTGTTCAATGCCAGGGAATCCACCACTTCCCTAGGGAGATTATTCCAGTGGCTGCTTGTTCTCATGGTGAAAATTATTCCTATTCAGATTTATTTAATGGCTTAATCAGTGATAAAAGTAGAGCTATGCTCTAAAAAGGTGACTAGTCATGTCTTGAGAGCCATACTGCTTTCAGCGTGGGAAGGGTAACAGGCATGTGGAAGCCCACAGATCCAGGGCACTACAGGTGCCCACACACTTGCCCATGGAGGGCTCCGTGGACGGGGACAGGAGCGTTCTTCCAGCTGACAGACCAGGAGAGAAACAGGAATCAGTTTTCCCCACGTCCTCAGGGTACTTCCATGGACACCTCTGGGAGGGGCTCAGCATCCGCACTCATCCTGACCAGCTCCGTGCAGGTGACACCGGTGCCCGTTTGCCAGCAGGGCTGAGGCCCGAGGCGGGCACGGGTGGGTGCGCACACACTGCGTCAACACAGGGCTTCGTGAGCCGACCCCCCGTGGTCCCCGCCACGAGCGGGCCGCTGCCATCAAGTACTGAGGGGTTCAGGCCCCAGCAGTGAGGACCCTGGCTTCCGCCTGCACCCGCCGAGGCGCCCTCAGCGCCTCACCGTCACTCCCTGCCTATGTTCCGCGCAGATCACACACTTAGAACGGAAAACGTTTGTCTGGCGCGCGTATAGTGAATGTGCCCCGCCCTCACCGCTCAGGTAACGACAGGCGCTCACCTCCCGCGCCCGGAACCGTTTCACTTCCCTCAGCCACAGCGGGGGTGTGCGGAGGGCGGGATTAAACCCAGCCCTTTTCCTGCAGGCGGTTATCCTTCCCTCAGCACGAGCCCCTCACCGCCGCGAGGAAGAATCCGGCCCGGCCAGCGCTGTGCGCTAACGCACCCCGCAGGAAGCTGCCGGACGCCACGGCCGCTCCTCAGCGGGCGCCGAGAGGCCGAACCGGCTCCGCTGAGTGCGGGGCGGGCGGGGGATCTTGACCCCAGCCGACCCGCCCCGACCCGCCCCGCGCTGCCAGCCCAGCCCAGCCCAGCCGAGCCGTTCCCGTCCGCACCTCGGCAGGGTCCCCGCACGATGCAGAGCGGCGCAGATGGCTGCCGCCTGAGGGGGCGCCGAAGGTGGCCGCAGCACACGCCGAGGAGGAGGGTGGAGGGGCGGCAGCTGCAGCAGGTGGGTTCTTGGGCGAGGAGGGGCCGGCCTGGGCGAGGACTCGCCGCTCCCAGCCCGGGCGCCAGTCAGAGCGACCCTCTTCCGCCGGCTCCCTCTGGCCGGGAGGGGCAGGCTCTGTCCCTGAGCCCGGCGGGGGATTCCGGGAGACGGGAAGGCGCCGGAGGGGAGACCTCGGCTGCCGGCAGGAGGGTGCAGAGGGGACAGCAGGCACGGGTCCTGTCCGCAACGTTTTGTAGCGGGATTAACGCCGCTTCTGTTGCTCTGCCCGGGGCTTCGCACAGCCGACGAAAGGCCTGACCTGTGCACAGGTGACTTTGCGTTATGACAATAACAACATTACAAACGGATTTGAGTGATCGCTTACATAGCATGACCCTGGTCCGTGTGCAGGTTGCCTCCTTTCTGCATACGCAAGTGCAGCATCCAGTATATGAAAGGGAAAACACACACAGAAGTCTGGTTTAAGTTGTAGTGTAAAATGTGTTCGGTTTTAGACGGTGAAATGTGCCGATGAAGAGTGAAGTGCCAAGCCCTTGTAACTGAGTGCAGTGGATGCTTCTCGAGGTGTACTGCCAAGTACTTGGGGTTATTACTCCGCTTTTCAAGAGACACTGACTCAATGTTCCCCAGTTCTGGCAAGCTGGTAATGAAATGTAGGTGTCTGTTTAAATACAAGTGCATCACTGTTAACACAGATCCTGGCTCTTGGCTTCTCAGCTTTCCTCTGCTGTTGCTGAGAATTCTGGCACCATCCTGCTTCTCTAGTAAAGAGAAGAAAGCACATACAGCTTTGTCTAATATGTCTTGCTGACATACACGAAGCAATCCTGTGTTCATTTTCCTTAGGAATGAAAACATAGAAAAGAGCTATCATAAGGAAGTCCAAGTGGAAAAACATCTGTTTTGAGGTGTCTATCACGGTAGATCATACATTGCTGAAGGATGAACAAAAAGCCCAATCAACTAATGAATTGTGTGTGCGCTTTGGATCTGAAAAAAGGATGAGTTGGGTTGATGCTTTTTCTACTATCAGGATATTTCTGCAGTCTTGTGTTCCAGAGCCCTGAAACACCCATCCCTCTGCCTGGATGGGCAGAAAGACACCCCCCACCCACCCCCACGCTTTCTAAAGGAAAGGAATACAGACTTACTTACTTTCTAAACCTTTCCTTAGGAAAGTAGCTAGAAAAATAATTTAGGTCTATGATGACCTTTTAACTCTTGAGAATGTATATCTGAAGAACATAAAATTTAGGCAGGACAACTTAATGATGTGTTAGTGAGCCTATTTACTCTTAATTAAGGAGCCTGGAAAATTCAGATGTAAATGTGGTAGTTGCTGTGATGGAGAATTAACTAATTGTTAGAGGTACCCAGGAATGAGTTTTTACAAACCTCTTTTTGACTTCCTAGGTATGAAGCACTGTGCCCTGTGATACTTCCTTTCCTGGTCCCGCCACTGGAGGATGGCTGCCATACTCTGTGAAAATTGCCCTGGTCAGCACCCCTACACCCGGGTCAACCAGCCGCTGGAGATCAGCTGCATGCTGCTTTTGATTATGTTTGGAAAAGTGTTCCTTGATTTCTTCATGTTGCAAGTTAAGAAAACAAATGCGAAAGTCAGTTTTATGGGATACTTCTGTGTTTCACTGGCGCTTCTTGATTTTACACTGCTGATGAGTATCTCTTTCATTTTTTATTTTGAAGACTTTGCGCTCTGGGGTGTGCGATTTACAAAGTACCACATTTGCCTGTTCACTCAGGTGATTTCTCTTACCTATGGTATTCTTCACTACCCAGTGTATCTTGTGGCTGGCCTGGATTATTACATGACTATAGCCCAAACTTCTCAGTTTCCTAAAAGAGGTCAAAGATTACTTTATATATTTGCTGTGGTCACTATATGGATTTCAGGGTTTTTTTGTATTCTGAAAGTTCCCACTATCTATGAAGAACTAGACACTCGGAACCATTTTTCTCCTTATCGGTGTCCCCTCTATGCCAGCCTGCAGAGTTACTCAGTCTCCTGTGCCATGGTGCTGCTTACAGGCACAGCTCTCCTAGCCTGTCGGAAGGAAGTTACAACCATGCTGCTATCTGTCAGGCTAGTATCCTTTGCCAGTCAGCCTGTTCTGATGTTCTCTTATGTGTCCAACAACAACAGTGCTTGCTTTAAGTGGCAGCTCCTGACCAGGCTCCTCATCTGTTTTCTTGGCACTTGGGCACCTTTTGTTGTTCTTCAAATCATCATTTTGTTTCTCGGTGCTCAAATTCCAGCCTACGTGGAGATGAATGTCCCCTGGCTGTACTTCATCAATAGCTTTCTCATTGCGGTAGCATACTGGTGTCGGTGTCACAATGTTGAAATGACAGAGGAGATGTGGTCTACGGACCCATTCGTCAGCTGGAAATTCTGCTTTATCCCATTTAACAATGAAAGCACAGAGACAGCTGATAAGCCAGGCACAGTAATTGTAATCTGCTAATGAGCTGCTGACTGGAAAGACTGCAAATAAGTGCTGTGCAATAGAAGCCTGTCCTTACAGATTATACAGGAAACATCTCCAGAGCCACAGCCAATGGAGAAAAGTCCAGGACCCACCAACATTGCACCAGAGCCTGGGACACACTGGGTTCCAGTGGGCAGGGAACACCTGCCAGTTCAGAGAATTTGACTTGAACGTACAGGTTTGAGGAGACCACTACTTGTATGAAACAAGTTTTCAGATAAACCTCAAGTTTATGACTAGGATTGATACACTTCCTTTAACTGAAACGAGCTCAGGTTTTGTAGTACAGAATGCAATAAAGCCTTCTTTAAAGCTGGAGCCCTTATATCCATGTTACATCCCCATGTTAACCTACCATCAAAGCTTCAAACAACTGATGTGAGTTTTTGAAGCATATTTTCTTGTAAAAGGGTGACTTTTTGTCAGTTTGATTGACGTTAAGGGTTGTTGTCTGTTTAAAGAGAAATAAATTGTTTCAGTTAATGCAAAGCAACTTCTACAGCTATAGGAAAGGTGGTGACATTTTGTTGTTTCTTTGCTATACCTATAGATAAATACATGCCCAAGGTTAAAGAATGGCCAAAATTATTTTAAACTAATTAGATTTGAAGTGAGAGTACTTCAGTAGGAGAAGAATGTCAGGCTTCTAGCAAAAATACCATTAATTTTCAAATTCTTCAGTTCTATGAAGGTCTAATTTAATTTTGTAGAACAGAAATAAGTGATACACAACCAAAACAGACAAATGGAACTAGCATTTATTTCTGAAGCACTGAAGTCACAATACAATGTTGTATTGAAATAGAAACTGTAAGCAACTGATGCTGCAGGTTGGTTAATCCTTCACCCAGACCCATGGGGAACAATGGTATCACACAAGAATACTCATTAAGAAAAATCTGCAGGTAACAAAAGGTGCAATTACAAGCAAGTTCAAGCAGCACAGTATAAGGTGCTTTGTTTCAACTTCTGTATGATGGATTTATCCATTAAGAGGCAGATTAAAGAGATTTCACTTCTACAGGATTGTAACAAAGGAGAGAATCTAAAATTCATTCACATGCCATTTGGTAATAGGAAAGTGCTTTTTTTTACAAAAGAAGATTCCCAAAGTGAAGATCCTGTTTTTACATAGTTCACCGTGTGCTCTTCAACTGTAAAATTTCATTTTGGGGTTATAATGTACATTACTGTGTATCAATTATAGACATAAGATTTAACTGTAGAATTTAGTGCTCCATGGGCTAAAATTTCCTATAAAAGAATACTCCAGTATATCACTCCATAAGAATGCCCAATCACATCTCAGTCATGTATTAGTCTTACAGTTTCGCAATATATCAAAGTCCAGTTGCCATTCTGATTTATTACTTCACCCCACATAGTGCTTCTTTCACCCACAGTCTGGGGTAAATTTCTCTGAGGTTTCTGTGATGTAACTTTAAGCAGCAGAAAATGGGCTGGGTACAATCTGTTAAAAAGGCCATAGAAAGGATAGGAAATGATCAAAAACTGGATTTTAAAACTAGCACAGTAGGAGGAGGCGATGCTTAGCAACATAGCTTGGAGTGCTTGGCACCACAGATTATTTCATCCTTTATGCTGGAAAATCTATTTGGAGGAAATTCTGTGTTAAAAGCAGGTAAGCACAGACAATGTTAATGTGAAAAAGCAACCTTAAGCAACTGCTGGCCGTTCTCTCAAATTGCAATTGCTGTTATTTAGCACTTGAGATGCTATAGGATAAGCCATGTCTAAACACATTTTTTGACACAGCATTTTTTCATGTTTTGTATGAACTGGACACCCACTGAAATGGGGTTGACAAAATATTTATAAAACCTAGTTCCATTTAAAAACTGGCAAATACCTCAAATACAGCAATGCACCAGGCACTGCAGATTGTGAAATAACTAATCCCGACAGACCTGACAGGCAAGAGAAAACTCCTAATTTAAAATTAATCTAACATCAGATGAAGGCAAAGTTATTTTCAAGAACACTTCAGATGCTTCTGTTTTGTGTGGTTGGTCTCACCGTTCTGATTCATTAAGGTCTGTGGGTGATGCACTTCTTGCAGTTCCAGCTGGGTAAGGCTGCTGACATACTGTATTTATCAGTGTGGGTTGGCCTATCAATCAACCCCTAATTAAAGTTTACACAACCCCGTCTATCTTGC